GTACTCACCTTACCTTTTTCTACCTTTGTGTCTGTCTCTTGTACATCCGTAAATCACATTTCTATTCCCCCTATCTACTTTTTGCGGCTTTGTCTGTTGCTTCCCTCTGTGAAGCCCGAAGTCAATCAAAGGGCTAATGATAAAGCCTGCCATTTGATATAAATAAGTAAATATCTTTCCCATTCCATCCACTGTACCTTGAGAAGGGAGATCATAGGAAATTGCAACTCCTGATGAGTAGCCACTTTGATTCTAAAAATACCATCAGAATCTTGGAGAATCGGTTTCAAACCATCGTCCACGAGACGGGTAGAAAGGTCTGGCTGGTGTTTTCATTCGAGAAACATTTTTGACAACTGGAAGTAAATTTGTGAATAACAGATACAGCAGATTGTGCTTTATTTCAGAAGGAAAACAGGAGGCGCCTAACAGTAAAGCAATACGATTCTAATTCAAGTATTTCATCATTTACTTATAGGTCCACTTATTACCAATTTAGGATTACTTCCAATCTTCGACTTCTCACTCTTCTTTTGCCTTTTACATTTCCCTTACTCTTTCATTTTCTAGCTTTGCCTTCCTAAACATAACCTCCTAGTAGATATAACTTTTTTTACATTTTGTCGTTAACCCTTATCCCACTCTATTTTCCCCACTTCCGCCTCTTCTCATTCTCCTCCATACCAGGTAATTAGTCATGCACCAGGCTTCTCAACAAAACTGTTACTCGACCTACAAATCCTTTCGCTGGGGGCCTGAGTGCCAATAGAATGCAATGGAAGAGACAAAAGCCTAATCGCACTCAAAAAGTACTTTGCACATTCACTGATCAGCTGGAACACATGTGCCTTCAAAGCGACCTCATTTCACATTTCATAAGACAAGTTAGCAGACTGCAAAAACTTTTTTTATCCGTGAATATTTCCACTAAAACTAACCATCTGCCAAGAGTTTTGAGACAAAGTTCACCGAACACCCAGTAGATCAAAAAGTCACCAATTCAACAGTAATAGATAAAATCATATTAATCCTATAGTGAAAAAAATTAGCATATTCTTGTTCTGCACATAGATATATATAAATAGATTCGTTAGGGAAAGTGAAAAAGAGGATAATCATTCTATAGGCCTTTGTTGTAGTAGACATATTGTGGGGGGAGTTTGTTTCCGCTCTCCTTAATTATTTTCTCTTGAAGGTCCTTCTCGAGTTTGTTGAATGGTCTTGAACTTATCTGAGGGAAGATTGCACAACACATGGGTGTGGCAAAGGTGATGCTAAAAGAGAAAGAAGCAAAAGTGCTTGTAATGCCAGTGCTTGAATAGGTTTTATCGGATTAAGCCAACAAAAGTGGAAAAAAAACCACATTTGAAATAATAATAATAAAAAATTAGAATCTTGGAAAGAGCTATTATTCAAGCTAGTGGAGAAAAGAATTGTTAAGCTTCATTTTCACTATTCTAATGGCTTTATATTCAATTCCTTAGGGTAAATGGAAAAAATCGAGTTACTTAATAATTACTCAATCAGTTTTGCAAAATATTAAATATGGCGGCATATATAACGAGGAGTTATTTGAACTTAAAGCTGTCCATAAAAATTATTTCTTCGTTCTTAAGTCACTGAGGATTTATTGCTTGGAAATTTGTATCGAGTTGGGCACATTCTCTTAAGATGATCACCTACCATCTTTTTACTTGAACCACACAAGTTTTGGACTTTATCGCGTGTTGGTATATTGTCAAGTTCTTAAACCCATGGATGCTCTTTCAATCACTCCTAATATTGTTAGAGTGTCTGAGTTATAACAGCTTAGAGAATGACCGATTAACAAATGAAAGGGGTTCGAAATCCAGGAATATAAATGCAGTAACTAAGCATATCGTTTCGGAATAGCCATTACCATAGATAGATAGAAAAATGTTTGAATGGGGCTTGAAAGCATTATTCCTTATCTACTTGAAGAAAACATATGAAAATACAGAGCCAAGCATTGGTGTCTTTTCAGTATGAAATGTTACAGGTGAATGATCACCACCGTAGCTTATTTGCCTTTTATATCATACTTGTTAGTTTTCAGAGCACTTCCTGCTAACCTGGATCTATATAGGTAAATACAACTCGCTAAATGAACCATCGTTTCAATTATAAGTCTTCTCTCATTCTTTTTTGCCTATATGAGCAAATGTGGTCTTGGCACAGTCCAAGTAGAAAGCCAGTAACATCGAAAAGATGGACTAAATAAGCTAATAATCTCTAGTAATAAGTCCAAAACAATCTGCTCTGTAGAGTATCCTCAGCAATATCTAGGTAATATACACGAAGTGACAGTTGATAAAAAGGGGACTAAATAGTGCATTTTTGAATATATGAAAATAAAACGGGAAAGTATAGCAATGTAATTCAAGAATAACTACTCACAGAATACCACAGAGGATAACCTGTAGAGGAGCACTGATCCAAGGATAGCGTCGAAGAACTCCCCTACGTTCTAAGGCGTCCATCAGGAAGGGAGGAATAACTAAACAAAGGAAAAGGAATGATTCAACTGAAAGTTGGCGAGATAAACAAGTAGAACACAGAATGAGCCAACTACGGCGGGCCACTACACTGATTACGCGTAAACATGCACAATTAAGCCGAGAGGGTGCTGTATGACTTGTCTGTTAGAAAATACTATTAACACATTGAAAGGAGCATGCATTTTTAAATTTAAAAAAAACATGATGAAACCTGGCTGCAATACACTACAGGCCCAAATGTTCGATAATGTAAAATGTGAAGTAACACCAGAGATCGTTAAAAATCGAACATGATTTGATTAAAAGAGCACAACATCTACGAGCTTGAAAGATTTGAGAAAGAATAAGGATAGTAGCTTATCGGTAAAAAAAATACCATAAAATGATTCCTAAACTCGGCTGCATTCGATTTCGTCTAGAAGCAAAGATATTCACCAGACCATATTTAGGTATTTAGAACAGTTAGGAGGCATATGCTTTGATGGACTTGCTTCCTCGCCAAGAATACAAACAGAAAATAAAAACATTCGTGAAGTAGGCTAACTTACCTAAGCCAGGTGAAGCCATAAGAATGCGAGAAAATGTCACTTGAGCAATAGCCACACGAGCAGTGCTGACCGATTTGCCTAATTTCTTGCCATCTTCATCAGTTACATCAATGCCTGCACTAAGTTCACCGCTGCGCATACAAGGAATGTTTATACAATTGGCCAATGCAACTGCCGCGAAAGGCACGAATCGGCCGACCAATGGTGGAAAACGCTGGAACAAAATAAGTATAATAACAAGGCTACCAGTGAGGATATTTATAAAAGTGGTTTCACATGGAACAACAAATAAAGTATCCCTAGAAGGAGGACTTAATAAATGAATTTGACATAATAAAGACATAACAGAAAGGAAACATACTGAGACTTGTTTATTGATTGCCAGTGCACTGGTAACGGCACCGGCTGTAGCCATTGCATAGGAGATACCAAGACGGCTGGATTTTAAATTTCATTATCAGAAATTATCCTTTTTTCAAAAGACAAAGAAGATATTAACTCACGCCATAGAGATTGGAGTATCTCCACTTCTGTTAGTATAATTTACTATTGCATTGAAAGACTGGTTAAACCACTGCCAAAATATCACCTCTGCGGGTGATCTATGACAAAGAAAAAATTTAGTTAAATGTTAGAAATCAGTAGAAGACACAGTAAGTGATCAGTTACTTGTAAAAAGTCAGGAGACATCCAGTGATTGTCATGTTCCCAGGCACTTGGAAAGCCATACGGCCGAGGATGAACATTTTTTCACCAGTGTCAGGATGATAAGCTGAGTCGTAGGTTTGTTTAGCTTTCCAGAGTTGATCAACCGTAAGGCCTGGAATTTTCTCACCCGCTCTGTACTTCTGAACGATTGTTTTGGCTTCATCCAACTCTTTGCTAGACTTGAGGCAATTGAGGGGGTTTGTGGTTATGAAAAAATGTTTCGCTCGGCCAATATATGTGGACTGATCGTAACGAGGTTTGTCGATGTTTATCCCCAAAGGAGCCTATGGTAGCATGACCGAATGCAATATTATTAATCATAGGTCGAAATGTATCTATTCAATCAATTGCAGTAATTTTTTAAGTAAAATGAATAAATCTAAATATGGTAAAAAGAAATCAATGAACTATATACCGAAATAACGAATGTCGTAAGATAAAAAATCGTGTTCACGCATTTACAATAATTTAAATTTATAAATCTAAAGATAATTGCAACTTCTATAAAAAATATTGTGACTTAACAACTCACCTCAGTCATGATTGAAATAAGTGAGAAGGTAACTTTTGGCAGCGATAAGCGTTACCCAAATTAAAGTGGAAACGTATAACAAAAATAAATGCGTGCTATTGGGCAACAGGTGTCAAAATAACCCATTTTAAAATCTAAAATATGAATATTTTTTATATTTTATCCATTTTTATGTCTTGGAATTTCTCTAAATAGTTTGATATTTACTGCTGTTCCTCCCTATTCAAATAATAAAATGTTGAATATTTTGACTTTTTGCTATAAAGTGTGTGTTATTATAAAGCAGATAATTAAAATTGCCCTGAAATTAAAATTCAGATTTGATATTCAACTTATAGCTTAAAGTAAACTAATGGGGATTTAGTATTTATAGAACATCAAAAGCACCCTAGCTTCGCTGTTAAAACTGTTCCTTCATTCTGTCTACCTTTAAATAGGGACTATACTATATGAAACCACAAGGGACTACTGTGCTTTATCGAGGAAAGAGGTTTATGTTGGCTTCACTGACAATTATATCAATGATCTTAATAGGTTTGTTTCTCCATTTAATTGTACCCCATTGCTACATCGCTCGGTACACATTAGGTTAGGTGTCGATTACTTTAAGTGGTTGCAGATCTGGTGAGTTTCATACGTTCCTAACCTGTGTTGTGTTTGTCAAGGTGGCCACATTAGCGTTAACTGGCTGATTTGCTGACTTCATTACAATACAACAATATTTTATTATCAAAGCCTATTCACATTGTCCTCATGTTACAACATACCTGCCGCTGAGAGAATAAAGTAATGGATAGTAAATTCCCTCGTTTATTAAATTATTTAAATTATTTCCACAATTTGTAAAATTATACTTGCCCACAGAATGAGGATACAACATTTTGAATGTCATCCGAATAGTTTAATCCAATATTGTCATGTACATGTTTCGCATAAAAGTCTGTTCACTATTGCAATTCATATATTTCCCCCACTTTTTTAGAGTTAAAGAGTATTTTTTCAATAAATATTTCCATTATGTAAATAATTATTTATTTGCCTACCGTGACAAAGAGACTTTTCAATTTCTAATAGCTCACTTTTAGTTAAACACTAAGGTTCAAGTAAAGTGGATTGGAATGAATAAAAGACAGGTCCAAAATGTAAAATGTACAATCCATTCGAATTTCGTTGAGGATTGATAATATTTATTCCATGGTTGTTGTCTAATTTTTGAAATTCGAAGATTTCGGAAGGGATCTTTTATCTTTATGATTCTTATGAGCATTTATCAAACTCTTTTAGCACTTTTTCAAATAAAAGCCAAATTACTACACAGAGTTTCTAATTCGAATAATTTTAAGGCACCAAGACCATTAAATTTTCCTCCAATTAATCCGTGTTTCAATCATTGTCATTCGAATACTGTATTATTTTTTGGAAATGCGTTAACTTATATAATACATAATTGTCTTTATTTTGCTCAAGAAAATAAATACTAAATTGAAATGAACATCACAATAAAGTTATTTTGTAAAAAATGAGTAAAATTAGGATTTAAAGACTTTTGCAAGTGTTAATGCAGAAACTTGCGGTCTATATTTGAGTTTACGCAGTAATTTACTGTGTAGTAGTTTCAACTTATAATTGGTCCGTATGCATTAGTCTTAAGGTCATTCCATCAGCGGGGTACTGAATTTCCTTTCTTCTAGTCGTCTAGTTATGTCGACCCAACGTTCTGCAGACGGAGTTGCATGTTTCGTTGTCCAAATTTGGAGTTTTTGTACTTTAGCCGGAACTGGAATGGTTCTAGCTGGAAATTATCTCGCCTTGGCTCATGTAACTTTATAAATAAACTAACGTGGAATTATCATCAGAAATCCGGATGGCTTAAATATCCTTCATTGATTATAATGATCCCTCCATTAATTGGACTTAAGGGCAATATTGAGATGACCTTTTCTTCAAGAATATCTGCAATAGTAGGTCGATATACTAAGTAATTGTATATTATCCTTTATAGGCTAATACATTTGCTAATGAGATGGGAGCAGGGTTACTTCACCTAGTTGCAAGCAATTTTATTCTCAGTTTTGTAAGAAGAAAATTTTCACTTAATTTTAAAAGATTCTTGCTGTTGTTGGTGGCGCTGTTGTTGCAGTCTGTGCGCTTCTACTTCAATCTTCTGCCTTTCAATTGAAAGAGGCCTTAATTTCCTTTTCTGTTGCTATCATCTCATCAGCATTGGCAGTTATTTTTATTGGTTTGATAGCATTTGTTTGTTTTATCGATGGATTTTTAAGGTATTTGTATGCTGATTGTAATTTATCTATGCATGAAATTTTTTATCGATCCTGATAATGTGGCGGCGCCACTCGCCGCTTCATTGGGTGATTTTTTTGTTCTTCTCATCATGACTCTTGTTGTATGGACCATCGAATCGTGTAAGATTCGTCTCATCTTCCCTACAGTTCTCTTAGCTACCTTTTTTGTTATTTTTAACTTTATCTATCCTTCTTTAACAGTTTTTGGATCACCTTTTCCAGCTTATTTTGGAATGTTCTGTTTTGTTATTATTGCTATTGGGCCAGCACTCTCTTACTTGCAAGGAAATAGAAGCGAAAACTGTTTGGCTGCGGATTATATCACTCTTACTCATTGTCTTGTTCCACTTTTGGCTGCAGTTTTACTCAGCAGGTATGGAAAATATCATTTAAATGCTTTTTTAGCCCAAATATTTAAATCTTATACTTGCGGCAGTATTAACCTTGGAGCTAAAGGATCATATCGGAGTTATAATGCAATTGATGAACAAGTTTTTTTTAGCATCTTAGGGTATATCAGCTGAATATAAACTGCCACGTTTAGCCAATTAATTTTACCAGAGTAGATAAGTTAATTACTTTTTTTAATCTCCGCTATTTCCTCTCAACTCTGACTTGATTTCTATTATGTACCTTGTCGATCGGATTCACACGTATGTTAAATGGTGAAAACTCAAACATTTAAGCTATGGAAAATATGAGCTCACATACTTGAGGTTAAGAGTCATTGATTAAAATCCAAAACATTTATCAGCCTACTCTTTTCACATTTTTCATTCACAATTGCCTATCCTTAATTGACCGATAATAGGATAAAATCTGTTCGGACACTGCTTGAAAATGTGGTGTCAGCTTTGTGCATTTACATAACGAAGACTATATCTCTGCGCAGTTCCTCACAAAGAAGATGACGTATTAGCGGATGTAATGTCAATTGTGGGCGAGGTATCTTTTAGTGCTGAAAAATTGACTCTTTATTATTTGATTCAGCCTTTATTGCAAAACCAAAGAACTATATCAATTTAGTCGAACACATCTGAATATTATAGTAAATGGATGGCAGTATAAACTCCGTAAATTCAGGTCAATTTATTCACAATGCGTTTTTCCATTTGGTAGTATAAGTGGTTGGATACTTGCTTCCTATGTCGATCTTCTCCCAAGCTTGCCTCTTCTGCAACCACCTATTAACGGTATGATCTATTTCCAGCCAGTCTTTGCATATTTCCTGGTTCTTGCATTCTGCATATTGCATTTCTGATTTTGCAGTCAGCCACTGGACTAAATCATGCAACATTTTTTTCCATGTAGGTGTAGGCGGCAACCTTGCCTCAATTCTCATCAGTCGAATGACAACCCGCTTGAGCACTGTGTCTAAACCTCTTATCACAGGTGATATTGTTGATCGGATCAATGCTGCGACTCTCTTCTCGTGTTTTCATTCAGCGACGGGGGAGAAGCAACGCAGCTGTAAGTAGTCTGTTTGAGGCTTTCCCTCTTCTCCATTTTGTGCAGTTTAGGGAAGATCGGAAACAGGCTTAACATTTGCCGACTTTTAACTTGGTCGCTTCACTTTGACCAATTTCAACTGCCTATGTTTCTCGAGGCTCATCAAAATGTCATGAAAACTATTTCAAGATTTAGAAAAATATTTTGAAAATAAGGATTCCTATCTTAGCGCCTTTTAGTTTTTTAAATGGATTTAGCCATAATTTCTATGTCCCAATCAGATTGTCATGTTTTAATTATTTATTTATTTCAAACGGCAGGATTTATGATGGTTATCATTAGTCCTTTAGCTGTCTTCGGGCTTCAAAGAGGGGAGGAACATCAAAGTGAGGAAAATTCGAGAGGGGGAACAGAAAAGTGATTCAAGAATGCAAAAGAGATAGACAGAAACAAAGCCAGGGAAAAGGTAAGGTGAGTAATGTGGAAGTGGTGGAATATGACATACAGTGGGGTGATGGTAGTTTGAAATTAGAAGTCAACTGCCGGTTAATAGACTTTTTTGTCATTTGAGTATACGTTGCCCAGGGTGCACCACGTGGAGGTAAGTCTTTCGCACACCCCTTGTTTTTTAATATAGTTTACAATTAAAGTAATTAGGTAAGAAATTTGAAATAATAATTTCATTTGTAGAAATATCTCAAAATGAATTTGAATATTTGTTTGTCCATTCCTTATAAAATCATGCCAATCCATAGGCTCTCTAATTTTACCACATAACTAAGACCTTAGTAGTCCCGAAAATTGCTGAGGTCCACTTCTCTAGGCTGCTTTGTGACCAACACGCTTAGCAAGTTAGTAGAGAAAGCCTCTCGTTTAATATGTCAGTCTAGATATTCCCTGGAGTCCATTGTCTGGTTGCCAAGGTCTTGTTTTCCTTTGTCTAATAATTATTTGTATAAATTTTTTGTACTTTTTGATTACAGGGTGGGGGTTTACGGAGAACATTACTTTTCAGAATGTGCTGTCAAACCTAACCGAAGATATTAAAAGCCTCTGTAGAATTTATAAGAATGTATTTGCTGAAGTTCATGGAAATTGTGAGCCCAAGTCAATTTTGATGATTCGTGATGATTGTTATTCAATCGTTGCCATGATGCCTTGATAAGAATCTCGGTCCTTCTGTGCTCATTCGCGCCTATTTCTTTGTTTCGGAGAAAAAAATATCCGCACTTTTTATTTGCCGCTTTTACAGTAATTACTGCTCAATTGTCTTTGAATTTATCTTCATAAAATAAATTTAATAGCATCCTTCAGGTTCTCGTATGAGACCGTCTTTTTAATGGACTTGTTTTCAGAGCCAGAGGCCATAAGTTTGTTGCCGTCTGAGCACACCCGTTGTGTAGAATGGCCAATCAAACCTGACGATTAATAAGAATGGGAAAATTCGAGTCAATCACTGGGAAGGCTTCGTGAATCTATCATTCTACCTGAATAAAGCCTTCCTAAAGGTAATTAGGAGCTATGAACTACTGACTTTGCTAATAATTTGCACCATACTCAGATACTTTCATTAAACTTGCTTACTTTTGGTAGTTCTAATTTTCTAATTCATTAGTTGGAGCGCGTTTCTTTATTTTCACTACAATCTTTAGTTTTCGAATTCCATTTATCTAAAGAATACATCTAATCCAATTATGGTTGGAGTCATTCACGGAATTGTCGGATTCTTTCCAATTCAACTATTTAATTTTTATTAAATTCAATGCTTGTTAAACGGCTTTATTTACGGTCGTATATGTTTTATTGTGTTCCTTATAACCTCATTTCTTCAAGCTAAAACAATTGTTCTCTTTATAGCTCCTGAAAGTAGTCTGCTACTTCCAGGCAGTGATGAGGACGCGACAGTGGAGAGATCAGGGCCTGCTAATTGTGTAAAGGAAACTGAAATAGCTGTAACTCAAGCGATCATGGACTCGAACACTTCAGCATGTCGTCTACTTACTCTCTGTCTGCCGATGCATTCCATGCTCCTTGTTATCAACTACAGTATCTCCTCCCTCTTCCATGAATCTTTGGGGCCTAAAGCTTTCTCATTTTCTATCGTTCTTGCTTACCTCTCCGCTGGATTTCTACAGGTTTGTTATTTAGGCGTTTATTAGGAAATGCCAAGTTTATCCTAATTATCTCAACACGCAAAATAGCCTTTGAAGGTATTTATTTCTTGAACAAAATTTACCGCTTCCAGCTATGTCTTTCTATCCCTTAGCGCATTGTTTTGAACACTTGGATTTAATAAGTAGGACGCAAGCACAACTTTTCATCACATGGAAACATATAAAGGCAAGTGGATTAAGTAGAGTAGAATTAGTGCTCTAAGTTAGCTTTTTAAATTCGAATGTTGCAACATTCGGGTTTAGTATTCTTGTTATTTACAATAGACTTCTCCGGCGTTGACTACTCTTCAATGTTCCTTTGTGGATTCATATTTGAGACGTCTAGGAGTTCATTGATAATTTTACACACTTGGACGTCTACCATTTCAGATACCCTCCTTTCTTCTGATAACGGAGCCACTGGAAAGGAGAATTGAATGATATGTCATGCATATTCCTTCATGTTTGCTTCCCTTTGAAGGTGATCTTCAATTTCATAAGTGACTTTTCCCTCTTATTTATTTTTGAAAACATTGCCGAATCTGCTAAAATCAGTATACTATGTTGAGAGCTAACCAAATTTATTCCGTTATGTCAACTCACTTAAGAAACCGTTCAATGTATTGATTAGACATTAAGGAACAGGTGTATCTATGCTCATTGTACCTCTCCACTCTTAAATTGAAGGTACTTCCAACTAAGGGTTCAAGGTTGGGTGGCAGTTGCTGGAGCTCTGATATCCCTCATTACTCCGAGATCGTCGTTTTTATTTCCGTTGTTATTTAAATTGTACAACCCTAAACGAGTGGTGATTTCACATTCGGCAGAAAAATCTATTAACTTTTTTGTTGACGATTAGGATTCATCAGTTAGAGTTCATATTTCTTAGCTTCAGGCCTTCTTGACTTGATTTGTTGGAGATAGTCGCGATAGTAACAATGGTGGAGTTGAAATGTGGAAATCAAATACTCAGCATCGCATTTTTTTTCTCCATTACATTATTAACCAACGTGTGTCATGCCTATATTCCAGACGCTAGTATAGAAGTATTTGGCATGAAGTTCTATTTTACCTGCACGCCTATGTTCACATTACTGCACTAGTTAAGTCTGGTGAACATGGATGATGGTAGACTCTCGTTATTCACTTGAAGACGTCATGGTGCCACTCTCTATCCAAGATGGGCGTTTGAAACATGAGAATTACTTAATCAATAGAATAGGCAATAATGCCATTTATATAAGAATTGTGTTTAGTGGTCTTTTTGGGAAGGAAAAGGTAACGTTTCTTAAGTATATCAAACGCTTTTGGTGTGTTCTTACTCTTTACTTGTGTATACCACTTTTTCGCTGATCATATTGTTATCATTACCTGTATTGACCCCTGGCACTCGATGCATTGTCGAGAGCCTATGAGATCCCAAGCTCTGTTTTTTTCCCATTCATCTTGGGGTTGTGATCTCTCAGTCATGAATATGTGCTGCAATACTACTTTCTCATGCACTCTGTTTTGACAATGTGCTGGATATCTCTAACAAAGTGGTACTAAGCTTCATATGCACAATTGATCTCTGATGTGTTTGCCCTTGCCACCTCCCACACCCCACCCCCCTAATTCTACTAACTTACGAGGGAACAGTCGAGTCAAATGGTAAGGAATGCAATTCTTGAATGATAGTTTCCTTGCTTACGTTAGCTCGATGTAATTTTAGCAAAGAAAGTAACTAATATTGGTCTAATTCAACAATTTAAATCAAATTGAAAAGAAAGCCGTGCCTAATTACACATCCTCTGCTTTATTACGGCTGTTTTTAATATCTAAAATAGCACGATGATTAGCCCATCGCACTAAGTGTGGTAGTGCAAATGAACGAATAAGATCTTTAGCGGTATCACATACCCACCCACCCCCCACCCCTCTTCTTTATTTGCTAACATTTCACATGCCTCATAATGAATTACAGCTCAATCTTAATGCATTCGTATTGATTTTACACGCCACCGTTATATTGAATTTCAAATTCAGTCCCCTATATGTGTATAGTGGTCAACATAGGTGTTTATTGAGCCAGAGATCCATGCTCTTAGCGACACTCTTGTGGAAAGGAATTAGCCACTCTGCCGACTACTAATGTTGGCTAATAGGAGTGGTAAAGTGTGTGAATTTCGTAAGACCAACTCCACAAGAATAGCAATGGTCTATCTTCCCTTTTTCCAATACAATAGGTTTGACAACTATGACACTAAGTACGATTTATTGCTACCGTGTTGTATTGTGGCGAACGAATTGGTGGAGTAGATCGCTAGAGTTGAACTTTGCACCACCATGGTACAAAATAGAAATAATAATGAGGTGGGGTTGAATATCCACAGAAAGGGAAACAAGAATTAGGAGGAGAGAGATGCAAGTAAAGGAAAAAGGAGTTATCGGTAGAAAGGCGATAAAATGGAAGTTGTATATTCGAGAATCTAAACATATCTATTAGTGGCTGTTTACGGGTGGGCCATAAGGCTTTTTGTAGGCATGGCGACGTAGTGATATTGTGTGTGTGACCAATGCTTAGCCAACGGTGAAGTGCCTATCAGATTTGATGGTTATTTGTGCCACCCCCCCCCCTCACATTTTGTTAGCTGCCAGTGGTGATGGCCAGGATATCCTCCCCTATCTCTGTTTGTGTTTTATTTAACATTTAGATTATTTCTCTTCACAGGTCTTTGTGCTTCTTCTATTCGCCCGACTCCTAGTTTTACGACGTTGGTTGTTTCTAGCCGGACACCAGCATCACCAAGGTGTCACCAGCAGCAGCCGTACAAGTGCAGGAGGATTAGCATCCCTAGATTTGACAGGTATCGCCATCACTACAGGGCTGGGAGATTTTGTTGGCACTGCTTTTCTCACTGCCTTCCTTAGTTTTGCTGAGGGCTCTTGAGCGTCTCATATTCTGCATTTTTCGGTTTGCGCTCATGGACGTGTATTAGGGGGACGCTACAGGGAAAATGGCTCACTCTTACTGTTTTTAATGTTTGTACTACGCTGTATGATTGTAAATCAATGAAATTTATGACGTGATTATATTGTTTTTAATTTAGATTGCCGCAAAATACTTAACTTAATCGGCCAAATAAGGCTTGTACAGTATTCAGAGAAGTTTCTGGGCGTCGGTTTTTACTAGTGGAGCAAAATGAACTTGAACAACCTTTAATTATTGGGCAGGTGGCTCAGTGTTAAGAGGACTAGGCCACAAGCCTGTATCTCCCCCAGGCTCTAGGATTTTAAGGTCAACAACCTTTTTCCAATTTTGGAAAACCGAGATGACACAACCCCATATGACATTTCAGCTATGCTTTTAGCGCTTATTTAAGATATTGATTTAGAGCGATCAATCATATTTGGTCTATTTAATAGATAGAGCACCTAGTTCTCTTTTTAGGTCTTTTCAATTAGATAAATAGGTTCACCTTGGCTGACCAATGCGATCTAAAAATAATAATTTGAAAAGATCACGCGGTTCTAACTTAACACTATTTTGCTGGGTGCACAGGTGGCACAGAGGTCATCATATGTACTTGCAAAGTCAGATGACATTGATACGATTATCATCTAGCGAGTAGAGTAATAAGTCCAAGTGATAAGGTTGACAAGTAAACAAATTGGTAATTCAAGGTTTTAGCTAGAAAGGCTTCAAAATGAAACCTCTCCACTCGGGGTACTGGTTTAAAACGCTATCTTAAATAAACTCGAGAGCTTTAATGCTTTATTATAGCCACAATTGACACAAATTTGTAAAGTTAGAGGCCACCACCCACATTTAACAAATGGACTAGAACAATTCTCAATAATATGTGTACATAAGCCAAGTCAGGAGTAGGGAGTTTATTGCATACCCAGCGTTCTGGTTAGCGGGAGTTGTTAGACTGTGCTTCTTGTGCCTTCCCTCTCTACCCAAGTCTATTACTGTGCAAATCATGCCTAAAGCGCTTGAAAACTACAGAAGTATAGTAAATGTCACTAATAACTGCCATTTAGTTATGAAGACGTTATGCATTAATCTCACCGTTCACTACTCCACTTGAAGGATGTGTTAGCATTTTTCGCTATTCCCATCTGCATTATGCATCACTACAATAAAACAAAACCTCGAAGGTAGACTAGAACCGTATTTAATGTCTTGGGAACGAGAACGACTAAACCACCCTTGTCTTTTGTAACCCCAAAACTCACCAACTTATCGACTTGCGCTTTCTCATTCATTTTATGAACCAATAAGAATCAGTATACAACCTCGGCGCGTACATTGCTCCACTTTGGCGAACGATGAATTTGTCATCCTTCCTGAAATATCATACACCCAGAGCACCATATAATTTACGCCAGAAGAGCTTGTCACCACACAAAATCCAACACCCTACTAATTTTGCCCAATAAACAACCATAGCCATCTTATTCACATAAGCATTTACAAATCGTTTTAATGAAGAAGGGCATTCGGCCTTTGCAACTTATGGCCGATAAAATACAATACACTGAAGTAAACATAAGTACAAAACAAGTAGATGCACAAGCACTAAAGATTGCTCTCTCTCTCTCTCTCATAAGGGAGAGGGATTCATGAGAATATCTTCGATTTGTGCCACAAGCGGCGAATGAAAGTCCGCTATGAGTTTTTGAGGCTTCGCTGCATTACTGCTTCCGGCCATATTTTCCAATTTTATATTGATTACCTTGGAGGTGCCTGCCTCAGCTCCTAGTCTCCACCTTCTCCGTTGATCATCCACTAAAACCACTTCAACAGTGAGCTCACAAGTCCCCGTCTTTGTTGGCAGATTGAGGCAGAATTCTGCAGTAAAGGAATCTCCCCTAACAGGGACTAGTTTATGTGCTAGGGCCTCTCGTTTACTCTTGCGTTGAAGAGTGAGGAAGAGAGAAACTGCATTTATCTTACGCAAAAGTTTCGGATGTTTAGGTGGGCGTTTCTGACTCACGACACCTATTATTTGAAGAGCTAGAGAAGTGCCAAGAGGGAGAAGGAAAGTGTCGCCACTGTTATCACTACCGCTCCTGTATTTATTGTTAGCTGAAGAGATGACATAAAGGTCAACGTTGGTCACTTGTTTGCGGAAGAAGAAAAATGTAGGGAGACAGGCGGGTGGAAGGGAGACAAGTAAGGTCACCAAGTTGACGAGAAGTTGGGGAGAAAGGGAATTATTGGTGGAGTAGTCTCGTAATGCCATGGCTTTAGCGTCGAATCCTTCGTGAGATTGAGTGGATAGCAAATGCTCTCGATCAACATTGGAGGGGTTTTCCCAATTTCTAGCAGGAGACAAGGAGAAAAGAATGCTTTCAGATTGTTTCAAAACGTAAATCATATAGCTTCATAAAATTAATATTTCAATAGGAAAAGAAATGATACTACTGGATCTTTAAATTTATTTTTATCAGTGAGGGAAGGCTTTTTGAAAATTGGATTTAATAATGCGCTACAGAATTAGAGAATTCAGAGAAATCATTTCTATAACTACTGCGCACAGATATGCTTCAGGGGTGATCGAACGAAGAAATCCATTTGATCATCCGTCTATCCTATACTAGGCGTCCTCTCTAGTGTGAACGGGTGAATAGAAAGCGCGATGTAAATATGTCCTTATTAAAAATAGAATTGGATATAAAGCGTAGTGAGTTGTAAGAGAGATGGAAATACGGCGATAGTCGGTACCAACAGTGAAGAGGAGTATAACTCTCGATTTAGCTACTGGCCACTTCTCTCATGTGGTGGCGACTTCCTATATGGGCAAACTCTGCGCTTATCTTAGCAAAGCGCTGCGAGTGTGTTTTTCATTGCTTATTAGCTAGGTTGATAGCCTACTCCCTACGTGATTGGTGAATTACATTAAAAGCGGTATTTCATTTAATGAACTTGACAATCCTTATCATTAACTACATCATAATTCCATTGTTTCGCTTGAAATGAGGACGTCTGAAAGGTATCCTTTATTAAATCCTCTTTAATACAAAACTGCCTTAGAAAAGGACGAACTTCAAGTTGTCGAACCGTATTTAAGTAGACTAGTTCTACTGACAGCGAATTTCAAGGATTACTTTGACTTACCCCTTGAAAGTCCGGCATTCCTCCAAAGTCTCAATGAAGACGTGAATTATCTCCAAAATACTAAAAGAAAGTTCATTTTTGATAAAGCGAAACAAACACTTAAAATTAAAAAAAACGAAAAACATAGAATTGAAGATGGAGAGAGAATAAATTCAAAAAGTACCCGTTGAGATGACGCAAAGTGGATGAGTCAGCATCCACACATGATTGAATAAGAGCCAGCACCCTACTTTCCATTTCCTTCCATTTGGGCACCAGAGAAACTAGCTGAGTAACAAATATATTGAAAAACGAGTAAACATTTAATGAAAGCAAAGAAATCGATTTTTGTATGCAGATACTGACCGATGTTAGTGGGGTCAAAGTGAACGGAGAATCACTTTCCTCTTTGGCGGCATTTACTTTTCTCAGGATCTGCCATCGCGCAGGCACACCGGATGAAGTGAGAGCACCAAGTTCAAAGGCCCTTCCACATAAACTGACAAGACAGTTCAGTAAGTCAGCCCGAATTCCTGTGTATTTTGATTGAAACGCATGAGCAGAACGTCCGCCTGCTGCCTAAAAGATGCAAAAAGAAGAATTTTACTAATAATTAGAAAACGAGGTAAGATTGAGAATCTGTGAGTTTTCAACACACCATGAATAGATTTCGAGCATTTGAGAATTCTTTTGCCGCAGTGCTTATAGCTGCAGACAGCTTCGGAACCCAATTTCCAGTTTGAGGTAGATCAAAAACACTATCGTAGAGGTCTGCTTGAGCCCGATTTATCTTGGCCAGTCCACGAAGCCAGTAGATATTCTTCAGATTAATAGCCTAGAAAAGTAAATAAAAGAGTGGGAAAATTGGCCTTGGTCAAAGTAGGTTTTTTCCAGATCTTTGAAAACCTACAAACAGACCTACCCTTTGAGACGGCAAGTGCTTATGGGCGTTACCCTTCTAACTCGTTGGCTCAACCAGCCACATGTTTATTTTCTCAAAACCAATAGACCATAATGCGATTTAACAGAGTCAGATAAATGCTTAGTGCCAACTTTTGTCTTCCATCAACTTTGTTTTAAGAGCATATAAATCACTAAGGACAGAGGCTGACAAAACCAACAAAAATGGCTACTTCACAGGGCGGTGCACAGACCCGAGAGATAATAAACCGCAATCCTAAGCAACTGAAGACGGAAGAAGCTATTGAGGCAAGATGGGCCCTTCTTCTCATTCTTGAACAGATTAATATTTCTCGATCCAGCTTTCTATCTTTCGCCCTCTTAAAGGGCTTTACATCTGTTCTATCTTGCCTGATCTGTGGAACATTTTGTAACAAATGTTTGCTCAGACTACTCCCCCCTTTAATTCTGTTGAACTATAGGAAAAGATGGATTACAGTTAACCTATTAGAATGCCGTACCAAACTTCCAGAAAATATGCAAAAGCAAAAGTTAACTAGATATTAAAAGTTACAAATAAAATACCGAAATATTCCCTAATTTTACTTAAGAAATGAGAACAAGAACTTGCTCCTCCTATAAAATCCAATTCATTACTTATTTACTTAGTGGCCTCAATAAAAGACACCTACCATGGTAGCCAGCTGTTCAAATAAGTCAGCAGCGAAACGAGGCTGTCTGCACACACTCGCTTTACAAGCAAGCTGATAGACAATCCATGGTTCCAGGGCAGTTGGTCCCTTTTCGGTTAGATTTCCATCAAGAGCACGAGCAAGGCAAGTTAATAAGTCAATTTGCTGTTCTTTGAGAAGAGGAATTCCATTTGCTGCAGTGAAGACAAACACACAAACTTGGAGAAGGTTGTCTGAATTCACAGTAGTTGAATGCGGTTTGCACGAATCCCTCAATTGGGATAGCAACTCTGGCAATTCAGGAAATCTGAGTAGATCCGTTGTACAAACTCGAGAAAGGAATTGACATAATAGAGCTATTCGTGGATCTCCACCTCAATTAAAATAGATAAATAATTTAACTAAAGTCTTTTTATTGTTAAAAACTCATTATAGGGGTCGGAATACTTACTCATAGTAACTTCCTTAAGGAGTTCAATCTGGTTGAGGAGGGAAACGAAATCTGGAAAGGTCTCGAAGAACATCAGAAGTTCAGAGTAAAACAGCTGTAATATATGAACAAAGTTTCATTATCGTCAAAGGAACCGACGGTTAATACAACTGTTTAGGCTGTGCAAATTAGTCTTTTGATCTGTTTTTGCCTCTACTTTTATCGAAACGCTACTTTTGAGATATTCATCGCATTATGCCACGTTCAGACACACTCTTGAAAAGAAATATGGATTCCCATTCCATTTTTGTCTTTAATGAAACTAATCACGTAAACAGCACAAATTAATAATAAAACATGAAACACGATCAAAATTCACCTTAAGCGAGTCCATCGAAGGTCCACGTTCATTGATTAGCCAGGAGGTCGACGCATTCTCGGGCTGTTCATCGAATTGGCAGGAACGAGTAAGTGAAACGACTAACATTGAAGCCACGATATCCGGATTAAAGTTCACATCGGATTTCCCACTTTGAACAAGTCTACAAGCTAAGGCGAGGGCATTGGGGAGCATAGAAGACCCGGGTACTATTTCGTAGCTCAAAGCTTGAGTCAGACAGGCTAGTATCCCATCGTCTCCTGCAAAATATAAATCATGTTTTAACGAATATTCATTTATTTATCTTATATCATCAGCTCTTTGGGTTGTAAAGATGTGATAGGCGAAACCAGTAGATATTATAAACTTGTGCCATTACAAGAAAATGTATTTTTTTGTTCACTCGTGCGCATAAAGAAACAAGTAGCGGTAGTGGCAGAAAAAAACTCACATTCCGCATAATTTTGCTTTCAAATGAAACAAGGCAAAGTTTTAAGTAAAAGAGAGACCAATCACTATTCAAAATTCGGACTATTTCGATCCGAAATCTTCAAAGCCATTTAATACAATAATTTAACATAAATCAGAGCAACCGATTCACTTCCCAACCACAAATCGAATTACAAAATGTAAATAAAGATATGCATGATAAATCCTGAGAAAATGAGGTGAATAAACCGGCGTTTCTCCAATAATTGTTTACCGATGAACCTGTTGAATAAGAACTCGAATATTTTTTAAGCAATTTCTGCAACATAAGAATCAATTTTTTTACAATATCAACAAGCTGTTCATTTAAACTGTTTAGATAAAGCAACATATTTAAAGCGCAACAAAACTGTCTCTAATTGACCGAAAAAGTAGCTGGGTGGCATTTCTGGACACAAGAACTCTTGGTGCATAATAATTGAGGAATACCTAGTCAGTGCCGGTACTGGTAGTGTTAATAGGTGCAAACGATACGACCCCAGGCAGTCTCCTGTTTTTTATGCTACCAAATTGGATAGTGTTCTATTGTCGAGAGAGCTAGATCTAGAAAGATTTATTTACTCCTGTTACTAGCATTAACCATCCACTAGTTTCCAAGTTAGAAAAAAGAGCTTTGCTTTGGCTCGACTGTTGCTACAATGACAAAGATATCTTGAAGACCTGATCTTGATTAATGATTTGCAATAATGACGCTTCATTTTGGTGTCCAAATTTGTCTGCCAATAACTATGTAAATAATCGTGCCTTGCAAAATGAAAACGGATCCAACGGAAATCAACCTGGACGCACGTCACCTCCTTCCACTGTGGGAAATGCCATAGGTTCAGTGCAATCATCGATCGAATAGTTACTTTGACCTCTTCAGAAGACCAAGGAAAAGGCAGATCTAACACACAAATGTATGGATAGCCAACTATTTACGAGAAGCAAACAAAGATGAATATTTCTCCTCTAATAAAGATTAAACTAAGAATTAGTTTCAATTATTCATGCAATTTTCAGGTTTATTAAAATGAGCTAAATTAGGGGTCATTGTCTTGCATAATTTTAGGGATAAAGCCTAGCTTCAAAGCATTTGTGTATGCTTATTCAGCCGGGGATTTGTGAAAAGTTAGGAAGCCAATTAGTTCACAAAGCACGCATTTCGAAACAACCGTGAATAGATAAGCAAATAAGTTGATCGTGGTAATAAATACCATGAAATGGAACAGTGGAATTCTCAGAAGTCAGAAAAGAAACCAAATGATTCAAAGAACGACGTTATGGAAATAATTTAGAAATAAAAAATCAACTGACAAGGTAATGACCAATTTTTAGAACTTGCTTTTCGAACAGCTTCGGAACTAGTCAGTTTAGTATTTTTCTACGTCTTATTGTAGACATAATCAGATGGCTCATGATTCATTTGTTAATGGGCATTTGAAAAGAATTAATTTTAAGAAATTCGAACGACTAGACATGTTTTTTTTAAACCGAAACCGCAAAGAATATGTCATAAACTATTAGAAAGGCATGACATACCTCCCAGCTTGTAATCTCCGAAGAGAATATTCACATTCACGGATGAAGTCAAAAGAAAGAATATGATAAGAATCGTTTCCCTCTCAGTAATCGCCGTTTCAGAGTCACAAAAGATCTCAAAAAGTCTCTAAGGAAGATTGACTTATACTTTAAAATCCAACCTACCTTTGTATGAGGTGGAGACCACTGATTTGGGAGTTTATCTGCCAAATTCAATAGACAAGCAAATAAGTTGGCCCTAATTTCTCCATCAGAACTAGTTTTGATAAAATCCAACAGAAGATCGACTTGACTTGAAGTATTTAAGGGAGAATGGGTTTCCAGCTTAGTCAATGTTTCAGAAATGACAGTCATGAAACTGCCAACTTTATGGGATTTGAGCATCTCGATCAAATGTCCTCGAATCTACTCAAGAACTATTAAAAGAAAATAAATGGCATACCTCAGGAAGAAGGATAGGACTATGATATGCGAATTCCGCAAGGGGTATGAGCTTAAGTTTGTGATCGGGGCTAAGAGTATTGATTTTCAACAGGTCGCATAAAACAGGACAAAGACTTATGACAAAAATCCTAAATAAAATCGAAGGAATTAAGTAAGCGGCACAAGTTACTTAGAAATAGCAGCATAACTATACGCAGCTGAGATTGCAGCAGTTGATTCGGTTTCGGAGTCGGAATCAATCCGGGAAATGACGAAATTGTGGATACTGATATTGTCCTTGAAAGCTCCACTCAACACACCAAGAAGACTGCAAATCAAGACTTATAACGTTACCATACCTCAGATATTGAGCTCTAGAGTTGGCGTTTTGGTTTTTATATATTGGCATGCATTTCTCAACAATATCATCAGCTATTGTCAGTCTAAGAAGTTGATTTCGACACTCAGCACATGCCCTCAAAACACATGAACGCAAATAATCTGAGCTAAAAAGATAGCAACATACTACCTTAACTTACCCATTAACATATACATCAACAAGCCTTAGAAAAATTGAATTAATTACAATTGGAAATGGGTGAGATTTGATTAAATCTGGAATATTCGCAATGCCCCTACATTGCTCACCACGATTAGGCGAGCTTAATCCTGAATGTAAAGAGACTAAAGATATCAAACCTCTATTTATTTCCACGAGTTTACTAGAAACATCTTTACTAAGAGATGTTTCATCCGCCATTGAAAATAAGGCGATGAACTACAACTTATTAGTGCACAACGACCCTAATATTAATAACGAAATGATAGAGACATGCCCAAGGCAGCGCTTTAAATGGCCAATTGAGGCGTTGGCAAACATTCTTTAATCTCACTAAAAATATCGTTCTTAAACAAAGATTTTGACTTATTACAATTCAAAATTGCAAAAACTAAGTAATAATTTAAGTCGAACAAATAAGTTCTCTAAAGGCGGGCCTTGCAACAAAATTAATTGAAAATCTGCTCATGCTCATAAAATCAGGCAGCTTGCTGATTAGATCTTTGTACATTGAGTATATTTGCAAAAAATCAAAATGGTTTTTGTTTAAAAGAGAGATTTATGTTGAAAGTAATTTGGACATTTCGAGCTGTTATAAGCATCAATTTAAACCACTATAATTGATCAATGCATATTTGTTTTTTATACAATATGCAAGGAACGTTAGTGAACTACACATGCGTTTTAATAATTAATGAAACAATAATTAAATTACCAGTTGTGTATTTGAACATATTCTGATAAAGAAGAAATGATAGCTCATAAATAGATAAAATTGTTAAAAATTGGTTTGTTGATTGAAACACTTCAGAGGTGTTATCTTATTTCATATCAGTCACATTATTTTCCTTTTTACATTATTGCTCATTTCCTCATCTAATTACTGAAGGCAGAAAAAACATTACACTCAGACCTGTCTTTCAACGTTAGTACCCTATTGATTTGCTAATGGAACAAAACATCATAATAATTCGCGCGCTTAAGTTTCTGTTGGTAGCTCGAATTTCGAAGTAGAATTCATAATTATAAAGAGACAAGCAAATACTGAATATTTCTTTATTAACGTCAAGCGCAATTAGTTTGACAAGAAATTAGCAATATAAAAGTTAAAATACTGTTAGTTTAACCCTCATTAATTTATTCTGATTATTCATTAAACGTAACGAAATGTTAACCTTAGTAAATTATTTAGAAGGCAGATGAACAAAGAGCAGCTAATGTTATATTCTCTGTCTCTTCCTCGAGGGCTGAATAATATTCATACATAGAAATGCCTAAAGTGAGCAAAACTGTTTAATTTTTAGTAACGTAATAACAATCCTATATATTGATAAATAAAAATCCAGAAAACAGTAACTGGCTTGTTTTTAAGATTTCATATACTTTTGTAAAATAGATTTATGCTGAATTTGTTTTTATGCTCTAACACCATCAATTGAGCCTTCGGTCATTTACTATACATTTTCAATCTTGATTCAGGATGGGTCGGGCCTGCGCAGAATGCCTACGGATGGTTCTGGTTATCTACAATTTTGTTCTAGTTGTAAGTAACTGCTTATTTTTTATTCATTTTCTGAGAAACTTCTGCATTTCTATCCGTCATTTTATTAGGAAAAAATACTCTTTTTTGGTTTATACTATAAATCAACTGTCCATTTAAATAAACGTGAAGTCACCTTTAATTTTTTTCTATTTTTCCTCATTTTTTACTTTTTGATATGCCTAGAAAAATAAACGGTAGTATGCTAGTTTGTTATTGATTGATAAACTTTATTGACTTGACTTTACAAACGCCGTTTTTTTCCAATAAATGATAAATTAAACCACTTATTGTGTATTAGAATAGATGGCTCATATTTCTGTGTTTATGATTGCTTAATATTTATGTTTTTTAAATTGAGCTTTATATCCTTTATGATATTTCTTAACGTATTTAACAATTACTGCAGTTTTTCATGTTTTAATGGCTCATTGGCACTTTGGTATAATTTTTTGAAAATAAATAAAGTGGGATATTTTACAACACAGCTCTTTTCGTTAAATTATTGATTTAAATAAACCAGGTTTTCATATTTATTCTCTCATTAATCTCGACTGTTCGTCGTTACCTTTACTTTTCTTGCTAATCCATTGAAAGCGGTCTTTTTATTGCCTATCAACTGCTTCTTTACCTGCTATCCTCGGCACCAGTTCATTTTATGAACAAGTAATCACAAAAATTTCCTATGGCCTTGGTAGAAGCAGGTGAATCGGCGTTGACCTTTTTAGTTACCCCCCCCCCCCCTCCGTCAATTCTGTCCCCCCATCACTTGCTCGTCTTTTGCCTCGGGGTGTCCGATGACTCACGCCTTTTACGCACGTGCCCGCGTGCGTATGGCTAGCAATTCACAATACATCGCTACAGCACACATCTCATCCCTTCCTCCATATGCGAACACACGCGCAATACACACACATCTTTCCCACTTTCTTCACTCTTTCTCTCATTTGGTGTCCACGATCTTATACCTCTTTTTCAAATCCTATTTTCTGGGAGCAGTTACGCTACACTGTGCTAGCTGTTGCTATTCGATCAGTGCCTTTTTGGTGTGATCGTGCACTTTCGTAATTTGGACTTTTTATTAAATCTAATCTCTAAAATATTTTCTTTGGCATTAATTCAAAAAGGTTCGGTATTCATCTGTTTATCCGTTTTTTTTTCATTCTAGATCTCGCCTAAAATCTTGAAAACCGTTTAGGTATTTTGCAGTTTCTTGATGGATGTAAGTAGGTATAGCCCGGTATGATATCAGAGGTACTAGTGGACCTTGTGATGGTCGGTTAGATCGTCCACTTTCAATAACCTTCACTAAATCGGAAGCAAGAAAAGCTAGTTTCAAAAGCTAACTGTTCTGATCAAAGTCATTCTGAATTAAGTGTGTAGTTGGTGTATTATTGAAAGGGGGGGGGTTGTATTAGTAGGGAGGACTATGAAGGGTTAGTATTGATTTTTCGTAACACATCAGTACATAAGATTGATCATAATTGATGTGATTATTTATTAATAGGCTTTGTCTTTCTTCATTTAAAGTAGCTTGACATAGTAACTCTTCTATAAGAACAACCCGATTTCAATTTGAATGCAATATGTAGTATTTTCACTTTATCCATTCAATACTAAAACCTTTATTTACACTTTGAAAATTACAATTGGACCAAAGTCAAGGAAGCTATGTTATATTTATCTTAATGTTGCAAATATCTTTCAAATATTCCCGTATAATGCGGATGAAGGTATAAAGGAAAGCAAGAAGTTCTTTGAGGAGTTGGTACAGAAAGATTATTGGGGGTGGTTTGGGGGGGGGGTAATTGGATGAATAAAATAGGTTGTTTCTTTTTTCTAATTTTGATATCTTAATCGCTTTTTATGGACCAGCAATTTGTTCTTTACTGATAAGTCTTTACGAACCTTAATCGAAGTCAATATGATCACTTCCTCCAAGGCGAGTTGCTTGTTCGCCTTTTATTTACACTAAAACTTACAAGATTGTAGGCGTGCAAGCGTTTCGTCAGCTCAGATATACCGTGTCGTGGATCTAGCGTATAAAGCTCTTTATTCATAAGTGTTCTGTATAAATAAAATTGGTTAAATATAAATTCTGATATGACTACCAGTGATACAAATTATCGCATATTCCATATACTCGATTCAAAATGCTAAAACAATTATGAGAAGTTACACTTTTTGCCTGCTGATTTTTTTCCAAAAAATTCGGTGTACCATGATCCAGTCTGTCCTCCTTTTCAGTCACTTTATTTCACCCAGTTTGTTTAACAAGAACTTTGTTGTTTATTTTCTTTCTTTGGCCTCCTCACCACCCCCCTCCGCAGTTTGACAATACTGTACTTAGTCACTTCCTGGTTGAGGTTTTACTACTCCGGCCAAAAATTTATCGACTCTCTTCTAGTAAAACAAACTGCGCTAAACCCTTCTCACTTCGTATTAACGTACTCTAAACTTGAGCAATTTCTAGTTCCTACTTTTAACCATTAACCTACTAGACCGTTTTCTCGTGCTTCATTTCGAGAACCTGTTTCTTTCGCTCAATAAATTATATATTTTTTAACTAATTACTTCTTAAATAACGTGTTAGTCCTGGCAGATTAAGGGGGGAGGGGTTATCTGTATGGAACTCGATAATCAATTTGCACTTTGCCCAACGTGCGTCATTTTCTGATCAGGCAAAACCCCTAATTAAAAATGCCATTAACTACAGTGTCTATCTAACAAAGACTAGCGCATAAAGTTATTTGCGTAAGTTGACGCTAAGCTCGAGTGAAGTGATTGCCCATTCGATTGACTCAATTCGAAATTTTCTTTTGTTTTTTTTGATCAGTGGCTTTGGAGTAGTAGCAAATGCCATCTCCAAGTATTGGATTGGGTCCTTAAATTGAAATTTCATCCCCAAAACTGCTATAGCTTATGTTGTTTACTGTTTATTAGTTTGCCACCTCTCCCTCATGGGTAACATAATCACAGCCTTCATAAAATATAAACTGGTGTAAGTGTTTACACGCTAGTTATGATTTTTTGCCTGTTTATCTCATGTAAAAACAATATGGCGGAGTTTACGCCCATTGTTCTTCCTCTACTATTCCCACAGACTAATCTGGTATTTGGTATTCGATCTTGGTTAATGCGATAATCTTTTTATTAATTACTAAATGTCATATTAGTAACAATGTGCTCTACTTATCAGTTGATTAGCCCTTTGTAGTAATACAATTCCAGCATCCAACATCCCTGAAGGAAGATCGATTTCAGGAATAAAATAGTCGCTGTTTCTTAGTCCTTACATAACTAGGCAAAATGTTAAGGCCACCAATTCGTGATTTATGGCAAAGCTCAAATTCCAACAAATTTCACCCACCTTGGCTTTATTTCTTATCTACTTTTTCTTATTTCAACCTTCTTTCATTGCTTTATATTCTTGTCAAAAAAAACTGTTATCTCATTGAATTACGCTACTGATACTTTTTATATGAAAAGTTTATCTCGTTGGCGTTACGACGTCTTCCGACGTGTTTAAGTGTCCTAATCTCAATTCGATTTGCAAGAAGACGCTAACTGAGGGGCAATGGGAACAATTGCAATTTTTACACACAGGCTTTAATTGAAGTTGTTTCTCAATCTATCCTTTGGCATCTCTATGGTGTCGCCTTACCTTATACATTTTAATTTCATTTATTCGAATTCAAAAGTATGCCAACTTGCGGGTTTTTTTAACTATGATTTCCTTTAAACATTTTCAGTTGATAGGCCTGGTAATCCTAGGCTTTGCAGTCTACGCCTACATTGAACCAGTGGCGCAGGAATTGATCGAGGTCTCTAATCGTCGCACCATAGCGACAGTGGTTCTTTTTGTGCTGATGGGTCTGGGTTCGCTGACGCTCATTGTTGCCCTCTTTGGCTGCTGTGGGGCCTATCACGAATCACCATGCCTCCTTGCCACGTACTTTATCTTCCTCATCCTCATCTTCGCCATCCAACTTTCTGGAGCTGCGGCTGGATACTTTTACAAGGAGAAGGTGTGTGTTCTTGCCCTAATTTTTCAGCATCGCTTCATTGGCAATTAAATTAATAGCGGGAAGAAGGCTTAGTTGTTTCCGCTCACTACCGAGTTGTTTAAACCACAGTTATTATGAGGCTCTGTCAACTCACTGAATTTTTTTCATTTCTATTTATCATACTTTATCAGTTATAGCATTTGAAATTTAGCGCACTATGCACTGTTTAGTCTAGCTGACGGATCACTTTATGGCTTTGCATTTCATCGAGATCCGTATGTGATTTTAATTTATTTCAACACTGCCTCTCTTTAAACAGATCAGCTTTGAGATATATTCTTTTATGCAACCATTTTTAAGTGCTGCTAAAGACAAATCAACAAGTTTGGAAATAATTTTTAGGTGAGTATTAAGCATCTGAATGCGTTTTAATCGGATCAAGATGTTGGGGCGGACTTTATTGCAATTATCATTAGCCCTTCGAGCCACACAGAGGGGAGAGATATCGAAGTCAAAATAGTTGAGAGGTGGAACAGAAGAGTGATTCCTGAATGTAAAAGAGTTGGACAGACAGACACAAAGGCAGAGAAAGGGTAAGATGAGTACTGTAACAGACACAAAGGCAGAGAAAATGTAAGATGAGTACTGTGAAAGTGGTCGAACACGATACACAGTAGAGTTATTGTAGTTTGAAGTCAACTGCCGGTTTAACGGTGTTTTTGCCGTATGAGTGTACGTTGCCCAAGATGCTCAACATGGAGGTAAATCTCTCGGACACTCCACTAGTGCGAAGATAGAGATTGTCAAAATATACTTGGGATTTTGGCAAGACTATTGTTTCGCCTCGTCAACGTGCCCTCTCTTGTCAAAACAAGAGAGTAGATAGAGGGCAAAAACCTTCCCACGTAATTTGAGGATATGAAAGTTGCAAAGGGGGGTTAACAGTCTCCTTGAGGAAACGGACAACGAAATGTTTACCCGGTACAGGCAAGGGTACTGGCTTTTTGAAAACCCTATTAGGCATAGTTTCTACTAAATATTTTGTGTACTGTTGTATTGAAAGTTATTCATTTCATTGCAAACGAAAGATATCGAGATTTAAATGTTCCATTTCTAAATTCCCTTGGCATCTGGTTTATTAAAAATTTTCGAGCGAACCATGTTTATGAAGAACTGAGCTTCTAATAAAATATAAAGCAGTAATTAGATTAGAACTACTCAGACTATGCAAAAAAATATCGATTATGCTGTCAAGTAATAGTTTGCTTACAAAGTAGAGAACTTTGAATTATGATTTATTCTTTTAACAAATATTAGATTAAAGTAGCATAAGCAAAATGTTTCTATTCGTGAGACTAATAAATTAATCCATGCATTTATTGGCATTGCTACGAGGATGAAAAAATTTATTTATTTATTTATTTTTTTCAAATGGCAGGCGTTTTGATAGCTATCATTAGCCATTTAGCTGACTTCGGGCTTCACAGAGGGAAGGTTAATCAGAGTAGCAGAAAGTCGAGGGGTGGGAACAGAAGAGCGATTCACTGATGTAAAAGAGG